TAAGTCCTTATGTTAAGTGAAATAAGCCAGGCACAAAAAGACAAACTTCACATACTCTCACTTATTCATAGGGTTCAAAAATCAAAACAATTGAACTCATGAAGATAGAGAGATAGAGAGTAGAAAGATGGTTACCAGAGGCTGGGAAGGTTAGTGGAGACATGGCATGGCAGTAGGGGTGGTTAATGGGAAAAAGACAAAAACAAAACACAGAAAGAATGAATAAGAACCAGTATTTGATAGCCTAACAGGGTGACTATAGTCAATAGTAATTTAATAGCACATTTAAAAATAACTAAAAATATATAACTGAATTGTTTGTAACACAAAGGGTAAATGCTTGAGGAAATGTATACCCAAATTTCCATGATATGCATACCTATACCAAAATATTTCATGTACTCCACAAACATATACACCACTGTGTACCCACAAAGGTTAAAAATAATTTAATAGATTATTACTCAAAGCAATTCAACACAATCTTTATCAAAACTGAATTTTTTTTTTTTTTTTTTTTACAGAAATAGAAAAGCCTATCCTTGAATTCATATGGAATTTTAAAGGGCCACATACGGTCAAAGCAAACTTGAAGAAGAATTTAGAGTACTCACTTTCCTATTTCAAGGTTATTACCAAGCTACAGTGTGATATCAAAATAGTGTAGTACTGGAATAAGTACAGATATATAAAGGAATGGAATATAATCGAAACTACAGAAATGAATCTATGTATCTATGATGAATTGATTATCATTAAGGACACTGGGTTAATCTATTTGGTCTTGCTATAAAGAAATACCTGAAACTGGATAACTATAATCCCCATGTGTTGAGGGAGGGTCTGGGTGGGAGGCAATTGGATCATGGGGGAGGATTCCCCCTTGCTCTTCTGATAGTGAAGGAGTTATTGGGAGATCTCATTGTTTAAAAGTGACAATTTCCCCCATGTTCTCTGTTGCTTCTCCTATCATAAGATGTGCCTTGCTTCCCCTTTGCCTTCCACCATGATTGTAAGTTTCCTGTGGCCTCCTCAGCCATGCGGAACTATGAGTCAATTAAACTTTTTTCCTTTAAAAATTACCCATTCTCAGGTAGTATCTTTATAGCACTGTGAAAAGACTAATACAGAGAATTGGTACCAGCAGAGTGGGGTACAGCTACAAAATAACCTGAAAATGTGAAAGCAACTTTGGAACTGAGTAACAGACAGTGGTTGTAACAGTTTTGAGGGCTCAGAAGACGACAGGAAGATGTGGGAAAGTTTGGAAATTCCTAGAGACTTGTTGATTGGTTTTGACCAAAATGCTGATAGTGATGTGGACAATGAAGTACAGGCTGAGGTGGTCTCAAATGCAGATGAGGAACTTATTGGGAACCGAAGCAAAGGTCACTCCTACTGTGCTTTAGCAAAGAGACTTGTGGCGTTTTTCCCCTGCCCTAGAGATCTGTGGAACTTTGAACTTGAGAGAGATGAACTTGAGAAATGGCGGAGGAAATTTCTAAGCAGTAAAAAATTCAAGATGTCACCTGGCTTATTCTGAAAGCACTCAGTTATATGTGTTCACAAAGAAATGTTGTGAAATTGGAATTTTTATGTTTAAAAGAGAAGCAGAGCATAAAGGCTTAGAAATTTTGCAGCCTGACCATTGGTAGAAAACAGAAACCCATTTTCTGGGGAGGAATTCAAGCTGGCTGCAGAAATCTGCAGAAGTAATAAGTAGCCTAATTTTAATGGCCAAGACAATGGGGAAAATGTCTTAAGGGCATGTCAGAGATCTTGACGGCAGTTCCTCCCATCACAGGCTCAGGGACCCAGAAGGGAAAAATGATTTTGTGGGCTGGGCCCAGGACCCGGCTGCTCTGTGCAGCCTTAGGACTTGGTTCCCTGCATTTCAGCTGTTCCAGCTCCAGCAGTGGCTAAAAGGGGCCAAGGTGCAGCTAGGGGCCATTGCTTCAGAGGGTGAAATCCCCAAGTCTTGGTAGCTTCCACATGGTGTTGGACCTGGAGGTGTGCAGAAGACAAGAGTTGAGCTTTGAGAACCTCTACCTAGATTTCAAAGTATATAGTAGGGGTCAGAGCCCTCATGGAGAACATCTGCCAGGGCAGAGCAGAAGGGAAATGTGAGGTTGGAGCCTCCACACAGAGTCCCCACTGGGGCACTGCCTCGTGGAGCTGTGAGATGAGGGCCACCATCTTCCAGACCCCACAAAGGTGTATCTACCAACAGTTTGCACCATGTAACTAGAAAAGCCACAGTCACCCAATGTCAGTCTGTGACAGAAGCCATAGGGGCTGTACAGAGCCACCAAAATGGAGCTGCCCAAGGTTGTGGGAGCCCGTTCCTTGCATCAACGTGCCCTGGATGTGAGACAAGGAGTGGAGATTTTGAAGCTTTAAGATTTAATGACTGCCTGACCAGGTTTCAGACTTGCATTAGGCCCATGGTCCCTTTGTTTTGGCCAATTTCTCCCATTTGGAATTGGAACATTTATTCAGTGCCTGTAACCCCATTGTATCTTGGAAGTAACTAACTTGCTTTTGATTTTACAGGCTAATAGGCAGAAGGGACTTGCCTTGTCTTAGATGAATCTTTGGACTTGGACTTTTGAGTTGATGCTGAAATGCATTAAGACTGGGGGACTGTTGGGAAGGCATGATTGGTTTTGAAATGTGAAAAGGACATGAGATCTGGGAGGGGCCAGAGACAGAATGATACGGTTTGGCTCTGTGTCTTCACCCAAATCTCATCTGGAATTGTAATCCCCACCTGTTGAGGTAAGGACCTGGTGGGAGCTAATTAGATCATGGGGATGGTTTCTCTAATGCTGTTCTCATGATAGTGAAGGAGTTCTCAGGCGATCTGATGGTTTTAAAGTGGCAGTGTCCTCTGGGTTCTCTATCTCCTGCCGCCATGAGAAAATGTACCTTGTTTTCCTTCACCTTCTGCCATGATTATAAGTTTCCTGAGACCGTCTGAGCTGTGTAGAACTGTGAGTCAATTAAACCTCTTTCCTTTATAAATTACCCAATCTCAGGTAATATCTTTATAGCAATGTGAAAATAGACTACTATAGAAACTTATGAAGAAAGAAGGTCTTATTTGCTCAAGGTTCTGTAGGCTGTCCAACCACGGCGTGAACATCTGCTTGGATTCTGGTGAGGTCTCAAGAAGCTTTTACTCATGGCAGAAGGCACAGGGGGAGCAGGCATACTACATAGAGAGACAGGAACAAGAAAGAGATAGAGAGGAGGAGGTATCGGGATCCTTTAAACAATAAGCTCTCATGTGAACTACAGAGTGAGAAGTCACTCATGACCACTGGAAGGACACTAAGCCATTCGTGAAGGATCCACTACCACCACCCAACCTCCCACCAGGCCATACCTCCAACACTGGGGATCACGTTTCAATATAAGATTTGAAGGCCATAGTGGCTCATGTCTGTAATCCCAGCACTTTGGGAGGCAGAGGTAGGTGGATCACAAGGTCAGGAGTTCAAGATTAGCCTGGCCAACATATTGAAACCTCGTCTCTACTAAAAATACAAAAAAATTAGCTGGGTGTGGCAGTGGGTGCCTGTAATCCCAGCTACTCGGGAGGCTGAGGCAGGAGAATCACTTGAATCTGGGAGGCGGAGGTGGCAGTGAGCCGAAATTGTGCTACTGTACTCCAGCCTGGGCGACAGTGTGAGACTCTGTTTCAAAAGAAAAAAAAAAAAAGATTTGAAGGGGACAAATATCCAAACCATATCAAGTGCCAAAATCATTTAATGGAGAAAAATTATTTATCCATAAAACTGGTGCTGACACAACTGAATATCCACATACAAAAGAATGAACTTGGATCCGTACCTCATACCATATACAGAAATGAACTCAAAATGGATCAAAGGCCTAAATCTAAGAGTTAAAACTATAAAATTTAGAAGAAAATATAGAGGTAAATTTTATGACCTTGGCATTGGCAATGGATTATTTGAAATGTCATAAAAAACACATGCAACAAAATAAACAGAAATAGTTAAATTGAACTTCATCAAAATTTAAAAATTTTGTGCAGAAAAGAACACTATCAAGAAAGTGAAAAGGACAACCTACAGAATGGGAGAAAATACTTGCAAGCCATTTGATAAGAGTTTAGTATCTAAAATATATATATATAAAGAATTCTTACAACTCGACAACTAAAAGACAAACTTACCACTTAAAAAATAGTCCAAGACTTCAACAGACTTATCTCCAAGGGAGATACAAATGGTCGTACCTAATAAAAAGATGCTCAGTATCTTTATTTATCAGGAAAATGCAAACATAAACCATAAGAAGATGCCACTTTATACCCACTAGGATGGCTATAATTAAAAACATAAAAAAAGAAATAAGTTTTGGCAAGAATGTGGAACAAGGAGAATCATCCTATGTTGTTGGAAATTATGCAAAATGGTGAAGCTGCTATGGAAAACAGTTTGGCATTTCCCCAAATTGTTAAACAAACAATCTTCTCCCACTGGAAGAGGGCAGAATAAAAACCTCTAATGATCATCTCCCCACAGAAACATCAATTTGAAACAATTACTGAAGAAAATACCTTCGCAAGACCTAAATAAACAGGACCTCGATTTAGCATAATGGTAAAAGACACATCAAAGAGGACAGAAAAAACAGTCTTGCACTGACTGCATCACTCCCTCCTCACACTCTAGGCAGCAGTGTAGTGACAAGCTTCTTTCCCTTGGGGAAAGGAGAGGAAAGTGAATAAGAGACTTTCCCTTGGAACCCAGAAAACCCTCCCTCATCTCCCCTAGGTCTACTCAGGCCAGGAACTTCAGAGTCCGCCAGAGTCACGATGAACTTGGCCTTAGGGTGTCCTCTTGTGCCGGAATGGCTGCAGTTACTACAGGAGCACAACAGTCAGTCTCCTTTGAATTCCTGGAAGACGCTCTGAATAAAGACTGTTACAAAGATTGGAATAAATACATAATTTTTTATTGCCCAACCATCAACATATGTCCACAAACATCAAGAAAATTCAGGGAAATATGAACTCATCAGATCTGCATAAGTACTGCGTAAGGCAGTACTTAGAATGAAATTTACAGTTGTAAATGGTTGTATCAGAAAAGATGAAATATTTAAGATAATTTGTCTAAGTACCAATCTTGAGAAACTAGATAAAATTCAACTAAAAATAATTAGAATGTAGAAAACAATAAACAGCAGAAATTAATGCTATGACATTGATATTTACAAATATGAATTAAGAAATAAAATTTAGAGCTTGCTTCTTTAATACAATAAAATTGATAAACCTCTAACCAATCAAAAAAAAAAAAAAGAGGGAGAGAAGACAGAAATTACCAACATTAGTGAATAAAGCATATACCACATGACAGATCCTACAGGATCAAGGAATCACAAACCATGGCCCATGGGCAAAATCTTGTCCTATCAACCACTTCATAGATACAATTTCATTAAGACTTCCTCCATGCTACAGTAGCAGATTTAAGAAGCTGTAAAAGACCATATGTCCTCCAATGCCTAAGGTATATACTAATAGGCTTTTAATAGAAAAAGTTTGCTGAGTCCTGTTACATCTAATAAAATAATAAGAATTTATATAAATAAATGGTTTCTGGTGAGGCCTCAAGAGGCTTTCACTCATGGCAAAAGGCACAGGGGGAGCAGGGACAAAGAGACAGGGACATTTTGTGTGTGTGTGTGTGTGTGTGTATGTATGTGTGTGTGCATATATATATATATAGCGCCAGTAAATGCAACAATTTACAGTAAATGAGAAAATTCACTGAAAGACAAAAATTACAAAAACTGATTTATGAAAAAGTAGATTGTGTATATTTCTACCTCAAGTATATATATTCCTAATGAAACACTTTCCCATAAAGAAAAATGACTTCACAATAAATTGTATGAATTCAAAAAAGATATAATAACTGTCTTACAAAAATACTTTTAAAAATTAGAGGAAGGAAGCACATACACCAACTGTTTTATGAAACCAAGATTACCCTGATACTAAAACCAGGCAAAAATTCCAAAAATTCCAAAAAAACACTTAAACAGCAAAAAATTAACAAAGCCAAATTATAAGCTACAGAGTATGCTTCCTGAACATAGAAAAGAATCTTGTCAAAATATTAGCAAATTGAATCCATCAATACTAGCGGTGTATGAAAAGAGTAGCATACCATGAACAAATGAAGTTTATTCTAAGAATACAAACTTGGTTTAATATTCAAAATTAATCAGCATAATTAATCATAGTAAATGAATAAGGAGAGACACGTATGTTTTCAATAGATGCAGAAAAGGCATTTGAAAAATTCAGCCTCTTGACGGAAAAATCTCAGCAGACTATGAAAAAAGGGAATAGCCTCAAGCTAATAAAGGACATCTATGAAATATGTTCTGGAGTTAATATCATACTTAATGGTAAAATACAGAATATCCTACCTGAAAAGTCAAGGAAACACTAAAGATGTCCCCTTTCACTACTTCCTTTAAATATTTTATGCAACTTCCCAGCTGCTACACTAAAGCAAGAAAATAAATAAAAAGCAGACAGAAACAAATGAAATATACTTACTCACAGATGACTTGATTCTATATGTAAAAAATACAAAAAAGCATAAACCAAAAGTTACTAGACCTAGCACCTGAGTTTAGCAAAGCAAAGTTACAGGAAGATAAATCAGTATACAAAAATCAAATGCTATTTCTATACACTAGTATCAAACAATTGAAAATGGAGATGGAACTTTAATACTATTTACAATAGCATTTTTAAAATAAGCAACACTGAGGAATAGATTTAATAAAACATTTGAAAGATCTATACACTGCAAGCTATAAAACAATCCTGGAGAAACTTAAGACCTAAGTACGTGGTGAAATATATGCGCTCTATGAATTGGAAGACTATTATTGGTCAGATGTCAATTCTATTCACATTTATCTACGGATGTCAATTCTATTCACATTTATCTACAATTTCTTTCAATTCCATGAATTCAACAAAATTCCACATTTATCTACAGATTCAATGCAATTCCAATGAAAACTCTACAAAGCAGTTTTTTAGAAAGTAATGAGTTAATTCTAAAGTTCATACGGAAATTCAAATAATTTTGAAAAAGAACATAGTTCAGGAATGTACTATCAGACTTCAAAATTTACTGTCAAGATAAAAGTACACTAAAATGTATAATATTTATGTAAGTTCAGGCAAACAGATTAATGGCAGACAATCAAGAGTCTGCCAGTATAGATCCATGAATATTCTGTCAATTGACTTCTGCTAAAGGAGTAAAGTCAACTCAATGGGGAAATGACTGTCTTTTCAACAAATTGATCTGGAACATTTTTGGATATCTGTAAGGCGAAAAATGAACTTCAACCCTTAACTTCCCTCTCTCTTTCTTCCTCTCTCTCCCTCTCTCTCTCTCTCTCTCTCTCTCTCTCTCTCTTTCAAAGGGGGAAATCTGTCTGACCTTGAGTTAGCTAAAATTTATTGGACGGACACAAAATGCATGTAAAATAAAGAAAAATAATAATATTTAGACTAATTTATGAATTGATAAAATAAAACAAAAAACTGCTCTTCAAAATTTATCATTGGCAATATGAAAAGGCAAGTCTCAAATTGGAATAAAATTTTATATAGATAGATACAGATAGATATAGATAGATATAGATATAGATATCTCCCAAGGATCCTTTCCCAGAATAAAGAACTCTAAAATCTCAAAAATAAGACATACAATCCAATTTTAAAATGAATAAAATATTTGAACAGACACATCATGAAAAATAAATATTCAAATGGCCAATAAGCATATAAAAAGACATTCAACGTCATTAGCAATCAAGGAAATACAAAGTTAAACTACAATGAGATGCCAGTATACGTCCCCTTTCCTTTTTAATTTTGGCCATTAGAATTTTACAGACTGGCAATAGCAAGTATTGGCATGGATGTGGAGTAACTGGAATTATCATACATTGCTGGTGGGAATGTAAAATGGCACAGCCACTATGGAAAACATTTTGGCAGTTCCTCCTAAAGTTAAATCTACTTTTATCATATGACCTAACAATTGTAATCCTGGATCTTTACCCAAGAAAATGAAGACATCTGTTTACACAAAAACTTACACACAAATGTTCATAGCAGGTTTGTTCGTTATAGCCCAAAATTGAAAGTAACACAATTATCCATCAATAGTATATCCATAAATTGGACTACTATCAACAAAAAGAGCAAACTACTGTTATATACAACAACATGGATGAATCTCAAAAACATTATGGTGAGCAAAAGAAGCTGACAGAGAAGAGTACAAACTGTATGAATTCATTTATATGAAACTCTAGACAAAGCCAAATCTAATTAACAAGAACAGAAAGTAGGTCTTGGGTTATCTAGGGCTGGTGGCAGGGTGGAAATTGCTTGCGAAGGGGAATGAAGAAACTTTTTGGAGTGCTGAAGATGTCCAAGATCATGTTTGTGGTTGCAGTTTAATAGCTGTATACATTTATCAACACTCAAGTAAGTACTATCTTCCTGAACCACTTTGTGGGGGAGCAGGGGGGAGAGATTTTGCCTACCTTAGTCATCAGTAACAATTATACATTGTATGCTTTCTCTGTGTAGTTGAAGTTTTTAACTTATGGCTCTGCATGAGTGCTAAAGAATCTATGAGTCCTCTGAAATTACATGCTAAATTTTGTGTGTATCCATATACAAATATTTATTTTTGCCAGACCTCCAGACCTCCCAAAAGGTTAAAAAATAAATTCTCTGTATTTAAAAAATCCTGGCTACTTTATATTTTATGTTTAACCACATATTATTAGAAAGTCTCTCCCCATGTTAAAAGCCTCACAGAGTAGAATAACCTATTTTTCCCTCTCACTTAACCTAAAAAATGTCTACTATCAACACTCTTGATATGTTTTTGTGCATAAATAAGAATACCGAACAAGATAAAGTCATAACTTTGCTTCAGAATAGTTGTGTAATATTCTGCCACATATTTTTCCTCTCAATACCTCGTTTTTTTCATTTGTATATTTCCAAATCATCTTCAAATACTCGTGAATCTATTTTTTCTTTTTGTTTTGTAACACAACATAAAACATTAACATAAACACATATACATATTGGCTTCTATATTGACTAACATTTAGCAACTGTTACTCTTGCGTCTTGTAAGAAACCATCTTGATCTCCATAGTCACAAAATGTTTTCATTTTGTGTTTTCATCTGCTGTTACCTTATCACTAATAACCGTGTAGTGGGTGCTGCCAACATATGTACCTGTAAAGTGATTAGACACTTTTCCAAGTAGGAGTTATAGCAAAATTTATATTTCAAATAATAAAAAAGAAAGAAGTTTTGCGTTTCTATTTTGATTTTTCTTTTCCTTCTATTTCCCCGATGTACTACTTAGTGCCTTATTATCAGAAAAACAAAACAAAACATTTGGAGCATATGCTTATGTGTTAAGAAAAGTAAGATAGGATTCAAAATTTTAACTTTTTAAGAAAAGTCATGAAATGCACTTGCATGTATTGATCTTGGATACAACAATGTGAGATGGTCTGATTACACATGAGGAGAACCATTTTCATTTTGTGTGAGGAAAAGTGGACACATACTTTTACTATCCAGAGATATTTTAGTTTTATTTATAAGAAAATATGATATTTGTATTTTGTTCTAAATTACATAAAACATTATGCAGGGGTTTTTTTGAAGAAAAAATATAGATTAAGACAGATTGATACAAAAAAAAAATAGTCTGGCAAACATGGTCTCTGTTGGAGGGTCAGGTGTTCATCAACTCTGTGCCATTTAATGAAGAAATTGTAGCACCTCTTGAAAGAAAAAGATGACCAAGAAACTTACAAAAATATACTGAAAGGATGAGTGAAGAATTAAGGAATTAGTAATAACTTATTTTCTTTTAATTTCTTGGGAGATTTCAATCCAAGACATATGTTTTTCAAATGCATACATTGAGTCACACTGGCTGTAGCATAACAAAATTGAAGGTCAAATTCTGGAAATTCTAGTGACTGTTGAGTTAACAGAAGAGGGGTATCCCCCAGAGCAAAAAACAAGAACATTTAGCTGTCAGCACAATCTGTATGAAATACCACTCAACATTCTCATTTTATTTAATCTGATTCCATACTTATAGCAAAACATTTTATTAGCATCTCAGAAATGCTGTTGTTGGGATGGTGTTACTATGGATGAATAACAGCTACCAGGGTAAATATACCTCTCATATTAGTGCATTAGTTGAGTAGTTTATAATCTTGGGGCTCTTGTGAATTGATCTACCTGAGTACGCCTCTTCCAGGCTTTGAGACATTCATCAGTCTGAGGCACCTGGTCATATACAACGACACAGTGTTTGGGCTACATTTTGTTTTCCATTATCTAGTTTTGTGCTCTTTACTCAATCCTCTAGATAATAAACAGTATATGAGCTAAGAAAATATTTGGCTGAGGTTTGGAATTTACATATACAGTGATGCATCACTTAACAATGAGATTATGTTCTGAGAAATGCATCATTAAGCAATTTTGTCATTGTGCCAATATCATAGAGTGTATTTACAAAACCTAGATGGTCTAGCCTACTACAAACATAGGCTATATGGTATAGTCTATTGCTCCTAGGCTATAAACCTATACAGCATGTTACTGTTCTGAATACTGCAGGCAACTATAACACAATGGTAAATATTTGTGTATCTAAACATAGAAAATGGATAGTAAAAATACTGTATAAAAGATAAAAATGGTACACCTATATAAAGCACTGAAAATGAAACGAAGCCTGAAAGAATGGAAGTTGCTCTAGGTTAATCAGTGAGTAACGTGAAGGTATAGGTCATTACTGTGTACTACTGTAGACTTTGTAAGCACTGTACACTTAGGCTATGCTAAATTTATAAATTTTCCTTTCTTCAATAATAAATTAACCTTAGCTTACGATAACTTTTTTATGCTGTAAACTTTTAAATTTTTAACTCTTTGACTCTTTTGTAATAACTCTGCTTAAAACACACATTATATAACTGTACAAAAATATTTTTTCTTTATATCCTTATTTTATAAGCTTTTTCTCTAATTTTAAAATTTATTTTTTTAAACTTTTTAAACTGTTTTTATTAAAAACTAAGACACAAACACACACATTACCTTGGCGTACACAGGGTGAGAATCATCAATATCACCGTCTTTTATCTTCGTATCTTGACCCACAGGAAGGTCTTCAGGGGCAATAACAAGCATGGAACCATCATCTTCTAGGATAACAATGCTTTCTTCTGGAATATGTCCTGAAGGACCTGCTAGAGGTTGTTTTACAGTTAACTTTTTTTATATATAAGTAGAAAGAGTATACTGTAAAATAATGAAAAGTATAGTACAGTGAATACATAAACCAGTAACATAATTGTTTATTGTCATTATAAAATATTGTGTGTTGTACATAACTGTGTGTGCATAATTCTATGTACACAATTGTATATGCTCCACTTTTATACAACCGGCAGTGCAGATGCTTGTTTACATCAGCATCACCACAAACACACGAGTAACACATTGCACTACAATGTTCGGATGGTCATGACCACCATGATGGCTATGACAGCCATGATCTCATTAGACAATAGGAACTTTTCAGCTCCATTATAATCTTATGTGACCACTGCCACATACTGTCCTTTGACTGAAATGTTATGTAGTACATGACTGCATATGACAATGTTCTCTAACTATGGTTTAACTCATTCTACTTATATAATATTTTATAAACATGTGTATTTCTAAAAATCTGGAAATTGTATGAGCCATCCTTATTTAAATTTAAAAATATTTATGTCTTTAGGATTTACATTATTTTCCCAGCCATACAGAAAAATATATAGAGACATTTAATTATCATTTATTTCTTTGGTGACCTAACTAGGAGGACCAGGATCCAATTTTTAAGATACAATTCATCTACTGCAGAAATGTTTCCTGGAATAAGACCCTTGCTGCAGTGCTTCAATGAACCACAGGTTTTCCTTTCTTTTCTTTTCTTTTCTTTTTTTTTTTTTTTTTTTTTTAATGGCTGAGTTATAGACTCTTGGAAAAGGAATTTACAGTGGAAATGCTGACACAACTTGAGTTCCAGTATGGTGGTGTGAACTCACAGCTATAATAATTAAGCAATTAGGCATGACAGAAAGTGTGAGTTGCCTGAGATAATCACACCCCTGGGGCATTGCAAGTCATGATCCAAAGATAAGTGTTTTTAACCTCCCAAGGGTGTGATTACCAGATGATAACCACACCCCCTGGAGAAGACGTATGATTCATAAAAAGTCTTTACTATAAGGAAAACGTGATTATGCTGCTGTATGCAGATGAAGCTGGCTGTGGAGACTGGTATGTGTATGCCACAAATTAATTAAGAATTGTAAGATGCATACCACTAATGGTATTGGGCACTGATCCCAGAGATCAATTTGTTTTCTTATCATTGTTGAAATATAAAGATGGGAGAAGGAATCTCCTCTTCTCAACTTCAGAAAGAAGTGAATGATTGTTTAAAGAAATCATAAAGGTTATATTGTCAAGCCATTTTATTGACTAGATTTTATCAAGCAATTCTATGACAGTCTCTCATTATCTGAACTACTCATGTTCCAGCAATTTGATCACTTTAGAATAATTACATCTTTAACAGCATTTAGTACTATAGTCCCATTCATTCATTCATTCATCCATTTTATTCCATTACCTAATGAGCACACATGAAACAATTATGCTGGTGGTATAAAGAAGCTTAAGTCCCAAATTCTGGTGATGGAACACAGGCACATAAATAATTATAATGCAGTGAGACAAGTGCCAGCATGGTGGTGACTAAAGTGTGGTATAGAAAGCAAGGAAGAAAATAAGTAATTCTAGCTGGGAAAGAATAAGAAAGCTTCATAGAGGAGAAAATATTTGATCTGGATAATAATTATAGTAGTTTCTACTTGCTGAGCATTTATTTTAGGTTAGACATTGTGCTGAGCATCTTACTTTCATAATCTTATTTTAATCTTCATAAGATCTGTGTTGAGGTGGGTGGTATTTTTCTTGTGTCACAGATGCAAAAGTAAGATGGAGTGATTATGTGCCAAGCTCAAGGTGAGATAACTAGTTGGAGACATGTTAGAACTAGAAAAATAGAGTTGTTTTCAGAACAAGTACTTTTAACCACTAGGTTCTATTCTGAAATAAAAGTGAGTTGCATCCTTGTTTATCTTAGTGTCTTATGAGAAGTGAAGTATTAAAGGAAGATAAATTTGGCAATATAAAACGGAGAGACTCAAAAGGCACAGCAGATTCCTTGACCATCCTTTGTAACTGGAGTCTTTGATGCATGGGTAGATACAGCAATAGAAGGGAGCCTGGAATAGTCAAGTTTGAATTACTTTTGGTCAAGTCACAGAGATTCAGTACTTTGCTTAACAGTTTGTAAGTTTGTTTTAAATGAATCTGCCTCTCTGATTTCAAGGTTAGTCACATGGGTCAGCAAGCAGTAAAGATTTCTTCTTTCATTTTTATTTAGCAGGTTCAGAAACATTTCCTATGAATCTACATGATTATGCCAGCTATTGTAAAAGTTGTGTATATAAAAGATATGTAAAAATAATTGTTAATTATAGTTTTGGAAATCCCAAGTTCAATATCTTCAAAGATTAAGACAGTGGAAAAACAAAGCCAATTTTGATTTGAAAACTAAATGTAAGTTGCATCACACATTAGGGAAGTAATGCTCTAGAACCTAATTTTAATGAAAATCCTGTGAAAAGCAGGGTTGTAGCTATGCTGAGAACTTTGGGACATGCCTAGAAAAAAATATTCGTATCAATAAGCAAGGCCTAGTCCTTTCAAAGTGCTGGAGTCTCTGAGAGATACATAACAGTATAAAACATGGCATCTGCTTCTTCTGAGTTTGTGCTCTGGTTGGGAGACAAAACATAAACAGTGTTTTCACAATCAATAAGCGAAATGACAGAGTTATATATTATTAACAATTACCTGGGTTTAGATGTCAAACTACTGGTCTTTGGAACAGTAAAAATGTAACAGTAAATACAGTAGAAATCATTTATTTGACATCTAAAATGGGATTTTACTTATGATAACTTGGACAGTACAGACCTCTGAGTCAGTGAAGCTTGATTTTTAATTCTGTTTCAGGTTACCTATATGACCTTCTACCTGTTAGCTGATTCTTGTGTTTTATTATTCATTTTATATAAAATATAGTCAATAGTTCACAATTCACAGGAAGGGGAACATCACACACCAGGGTCTGTTGTGGGGTGGGGGGAGGGGGGAGGGATAGCATTAGGAGATATACCAAATGTAAATGACGAGTTAATGGGTGCAGCACACCAACATGGCACATGTATATATATGTAACAAACCTGCACGTTGTGCACATGTACCCTAGAACTTAAAGTACAGTAAAAAAGAAAAAACAATAAAAATAAAAAAATAAAAAGTAAAAATTGAGCCTGTAATCCCAGCACTTCGGGAGCCAAGGCAGGTGGATCACGAGGTCAGGAGATCAAGGCCATCCTGGCTAACATGGTGAAACCCTGTCTCTATTAAAAATACCAAAAAAATAAATTAGCCAGGCGTGGTGGCGGGCACCCATAGTCCCAGCTACTTGGAAGGCTGAGGCAGGAGAATGGCGTGAGCCTGGAGGCGGAGTCTGCAGTGAGCCGAGATCGATTGCGCCACTGCACTCCAGCGTGGGTGACACAGCGAGACTCCATCTCAAAAAAAGAAACTGAAAACTGAAAGCTAGCTTTCTCAAAATATAGCTTCGCTTAATTTGGGGACAATGGAAATATTTTACATAATTATAAAATTAAAGAAAACGAAAATTCTTAAGAATAAAAATTTTAAAATGAACCTAAAAAAAAATAGTTCCCAATTCACAAAGTGGCTAAGAACATTTTAAATGATATGTGTAGAGTTTAGCTTAGTGGCCAGGATATGGGAAGCGTTTATTAAATGACAGCAATTATAATGATGATCACAACAGTAATCATGTGATGGTAACTGTGCTAGACACTAATGTAAATATGAGTGAGAAATAATCCCTCTAAATTTGGCAATGACTTCCCCACTATTGACAGTTCCTGGGTGTTTCACCATCCCTTGTTGTTCTATACCCATTTCTGTAAACAGTATCTTCATTAATTTTTTGATTAAATACTTCAGAGTATGATATAGTTTGACTGTGTCCCCACTCAAATTTCACCTTGAGTTGTAAAAATCCCCACGTCAGTCTCCACATAGGGTCATGTGGAGATAATTGGATCATGAGGGCAGTTTCCCCTATACTGTGCTTTGGTAGTGAATAAGTCTCACGAGACCTGATGGTTTTATAAATGGGAGTTCCCTTGCACAAGCTCTCTTTTGACTGCTGCCATGTAAGACGTGACTTTGCTCCTCCTTTGCCTTGTGCCATGATTGTGAGGCCTCCCCAGCCATGTGGAACTGTGAGTCAATTAAATCTCTTTCCTTTATAAATTACCCAGTCTCAGATGTAGTTTTACTAGCAACATGAGAACAGACTAATACAGGGTATAAGAGCTCTTTCCGACGGGACCCTGATGTTATACTTTTTAAAGTGATTCAATATACGTGCTCCTTTAAGACATTAATATATCTTAATATAAAGATAGTGTTCTAAATTGCTTACAGTTGGTAAAACTGCTACTTTAGGATGATGTATGATGCTTATCCTGGGGAGTTTATTACCTGGCACACAAATTTGGACCTCAGGAGATTCCCTATTCCCTGGTTATGAGGCTCCACAGGTGGTCCAAAGTGAGCTGAATGGATATGGTTCTCCTGTGGGAATTTCAAAGAATGACTCTCACCATGGTGAGCACAACCTGAAGGACCTGTTTTGCTTCTTGTTCATTCTTCATTACCTACCTTCTACATTTTTAGAAATAAATATAGAATTAAAATTTTGAATGAGGTACCTTTATTTTAGACCTTAACAACCCTAACATTGGCCCTGTGACAAATTTTTAAAAACATAAGTTCTTGCTTCCTGAAGTGAATTTTATATGATTTTCTGGTTTTAACATGCTTGCTACACGTGGTCCTACAGTGCTCTCCTAAACTTTGCTAAAAAGAAGATATGACAAGACCAAATCATAGGACCAAAATCTGAGATCACATTAAGAATGAAACTTTAGAAACACTAGAAAGTTTATTTATTTGGGCTTTTGGAATTCTTGCAGTCACTAGGAATCACTTCAACAGGGGAATTTTCGGAAAAAAAGTAATGTGAAGAATGTCCAAGCCATGAGCAGGTTACTGAGCCAGTCGGAAAGGTAGCTTATTCACTGGTAAAAGGAAAATACTACCCAACTTACAAGGTTGTTGGGATATCAAAAGAAAACAAGGAAAGACCATATCAACATGCTCAGCACCAAACAGTTATACAACAATTTAGAGCTATTATTGCAATCACAATATTAATGATGTAGACTTCTTTCATTAACTTTTGGTGTGGGGTCAGTTTAAATGTATTTTAATTAAACGTTGCTGTCTCAGTAATTGAGTTGGTGAGATAAGGAAGGATAGCCAGTGAACCCTTGGAATATATTGCTCACAATTTTAAGCACTTTACTCTTCTCTTATTAATTCATACACTGATAACAAATTTTCTAGGTAAGTTATATAATTCCCATTTTATATATAAGAAAACTGAGACACAAAGAAGTTAAATGACTTACCTGTGTTCATATGACTAATAAGAATAGAGGTGGGATTTGAATTCAAGCTTTCTGATTCCAGAGAGAGTTCTAAGTCATGAGGCTTTCTTCTTCCCAAGACCTACAAAGTTTGTTTGAAAAGCAGGAGCTGATACGCTGTCTGAGAACAGTGGAGATTCAAGTTAAAAATTACTAAATTTAAAAACACAGCTACTTAAAATCTTTTCTAGAATAGGCAGGGGAAAACAATAAGTATTCCTTGATAAGTATACATGGGTAAATGGACACATTATGTCATACTTCTTAACTGCATATTTATCTAAAGCTTGCAATAAAATATTTTTATTTCAGATGTGGCCTTAAAAAGATCATGAGAAATAGTGTATATTCAAAAAAAATCCAAATTACTTCAAGTTGTTTAATTAAAGATGAGACTTTTCTTATCTATTTTAGGTCAAGGAAGTGTGGGATTGGAAGCTGAAAAAAACCCAAATGACTATATGGGAGGTTATTGAATCTGACTTTTCATATCCTTTCAATCTGTTGTCATTTTTCATTTGCCCAGAATCAGATAAAATTTAATCATAATGTTATACAATTTCTCAAGCTCAGAAATAAATTAATAATTTTAAAAAGAGAATTAAGGAAGTTTGAAAATAATATGGGATTGGATTAAATGTTTTGTAGTTATTTTCTCTCTTTCAATTGCTATTAGGAAAACATGTCTTGATGTTTTTGTCAGTGGATAAAAGTAGAGAATGCCTAAGCATTTAATATAAGTTGAAGAAATAAAACAACAATTGTCTTATAAAAAAGGAATACTGTTAAGATATTTAAACAGTGTAACTGGATTGAAAATAAATTACTGATTTCCAGAGGCTGGGGGAAAAAGAGAATGGAAGGTGGCTGTCAATGGGAATAGGGTATTTTTTTTTGAAGTTATTAAAATATTCTGGAATTAGATAGTTATGATGGTTGCAGAACATTGTGAATATACTCTACTAAAAACACTAAATTGCACATTTTTAAAGTAATAAACATTATGCAAAAGTATGTGAATTGCATCTCAATTAAAAAATCTAATGCAAAAATATCCAATGATTGCAGAATCTTTGCATATAAAGGGAAAGACTGAAGTACAGGTCACAGGAACAGAATTTTAGAGTTGAAATCATTAAGGATATTTAACAAATAAATGAATAAATAAGTAAAGGTCACAAAGCCCAATAAGTTGGAAGAACATAATTAATCTCCACCTACTCATGATTCAAAGGTAATGTACTCAAAGTGGCCACATTTTCCAACCTAATAATTCAAAGGGGGCAAGAAGGCTAACAAAGTACAGTGATCGCCTGGTACTTTATATATAACATGACATGGGAATTACAATTTTAAGATCTCGTTGTCGAAACTGGAATATCCAGATTTCAAGTAATTAGGGAAACAGCAGGATGTAATGTTTAGACCACGACTATTCTGGAATATTCAAAATTACAGATTCATGTTTCTTATTAGAATTCTTCATTGGCTGAAAGAAATTCTAACTAAGTGAAGCAAAAAACAAGAGAGAGAATAAAATATTAGAGCACACAACACTTAAGAGAAGTTGGAAAATTAACCATAAATAAAGCATATCCAAGAAATCCTTTGGAGAATATGGACTGGGAACTCATGGAAGGCTTTCCTCAAAGACTACCATGGAAATAGCTCAGATTCAACCACTTCCCTTCCTTATGTAAGTCTGCTTAAGATTTATGTTCCTGGAAGAAAGAACACTTGACCATCATTTATTCTTAGAGAAGGCAGAAAAATATATGGCTTGACAGTTTTAACTTGATTGCATTCAGTGGAGGAGTCATTTCCCAAGGAACTCTTGCCAAATGATGGGGAACAGGAAGGAAAGCATTCAAAACAACATATGTCAACAAAAGCCACCATTTTTAAGGACTTTAGTTTCCTCATTTGTTAAATCAGGTAATAATGTTACTCACCTCACAAGCTCAATACTTACTCCAATGTCAGGTACATAATAAGAAATATATATTTATTAGTTATTATTAATATATATGAATAACATATAAAAATATATAATATTAATGCCTATTACAAAATATTTAAACATTAAGAAGATTGTGGAATAGCTATTTCTTATAAATAGATGACAATAAGTCAAAGCAATATGATTATATTCACTTAAAAATTCAATAATTTTTGTTGCTCTGCCTATGGAGTAGCCATTCTTTTATTCCTTTACTGTCTTAATAAACTTGCATTCACTTAAAAATAATTAAACAATTTTGCTGTATTTCCAATTGTGCTCCTCAGTTTATGCAAATTAGTCAGCTTCTCTCATAGTTCTACAAAAAATATTTAAACTATTATTCTTTTTTGGAGAAGGGCCTTAAATAAATTCAAAATATTCACCTTATTTATATACATTTTTAGCACTGATGTTGATTTAGGCAGAAGGTAAACTATACAGCATCAGCATTTACACAATCATTTCTACACCAAAGAATGCCACACATAAATGTATCATACATTATAAGATTTAGCTGGTTCTTACAATATTAGTCTAGTAACAATAGGAATCCATAATTTCACTATAGTCATTAATCATTCCTGCTCTTTTAACAATAAACTCAACAGAATGGACTGTCATATAGGGGTCAATTTTCAAATAAACATGATCAAATAACCTCCAAAAAAATAAGAAAAACACAGTAGACAACCTGTATTCTTCAGTAAGTTTTCTCTGCTGACTTATCTTTGGTGAGCAAATTCAGTGGAATCCTTACTTCTGCTCTTGAAAAAGTAACCTCCTTCAGTAACCTCCAAATTCTTAGCTGCAGCTGAAGGTTTTATTTCCTGGCAGAGATAAAATCAATGATGTATCACTAGATTTAGAGCTCTAACAAAAATATGTCCATGTTTCCACTTTCTGACTCCTCCCCACCACATCCACAGACAGGGACAACACCTCCAGCTATCCTCTCTCTCCAATTCAGAAAGCGAATTGGGGGAGTGGCAAGGGGTGATTTTCATTCAACTACCTGCATCAATTAGGAACTTATAACAAGAATTGGGCCTTAAATAATTGTAGGAGGAGCTGAGAGAAATAAATGTCCAAAAAGGTCAAAGAAAAGTTTCCTAACCAGGCCCAGCACTGGAGAACAAATGGAACAAAATAAACCCACAGGGAGAAATGAATTTTCCCAAATAGTGTATACAAAAATAAAGTTTCAATTGTTGAAAACAAATAAGTTATCCAAAAGTAATGTTTTATTTTAAAATAGAAGCTAGTAGCTCCAAAAAAAAAAAAAAAACCTAATGATAATTGAAAAATTATTGTTTGAAAGAAAACAGAAGACAGTGATTAAAATTCAAATAACAATATTCCTTCTTACTTTGACCACTGAAGAGTAAATCTGGGGACTCTGATTTTTTCCAAGTTTCCCTAGTTCATAGGTACCTATGGAGTGACATAATGGCAATAGGAATTTGGCTCTTCATACTATCTTCCCAAATTGTTTCGGCAGCCCACCATGAAGTTTGAAGTCTTCTTTGGGCTCTCATATGTATGCACAAAGTCAGCTTCCACCAGGCATTGCTGCTATTTTGCCTGTGACACAGTGCCCTAAAGATAACTTTAGGATATCTGATTACCATTGTTCATCTTCCTCGAGGCATCTGAGGGGACCATCACATTACATTCAATAGCCTCTCCTAGTTGCAGCGTGGAAGAATATCTGAAAGAAGCCACAGAAGGTGTGCAAGATGTTTAATAGCCTAATGTGCAGCAAGAAAAATAAAAACCTCTTCATGTTCATTTCTTTTGTATTCTGTGGGAGTGGCCCCCAAGCAGAGATGATTATATCCTCAAAGTTCCTCATGAAAACTGTTCTTTGTTTTGTTTTGTTTCTTCTCCTATTCGTAGCTCTCTGTATTGTTCAGATACCAGAATAAAGGGATGCATTTGGACACAAACCCATATTGTCCTCTTCATTCTGCTCTCTTCTTTCTCCTGTGATTCTGCTGTCAACAATGTTTAATTCTCCAAAGCAGAATAATTTAATAGAAATATAATGAGTTAGATGTGCAATGTAAAATTTTAATTTTTCCTTGAGCATATGAAGAGAAACACATGAAATTATAATACATTTTATTTAACCCGTTGTATCTAAATAATTATTTTAAGATGAAATCAATATAGAAATTATTAATAAGATATTTTACATTTCTTTGGTATTAAGTCTTTGAAATCCAGTTGTCTATTTTACACTGACAGCAAATTGCCATTCAGACTGGTCACATTTCAAGCGCTTAATAGTCATGTACAGCTACTGGTACTATACTGGATTATGCAGCTCTAAAAAGCCAAAAACCCCATTTGACCTAAGTAGTTGCTGAAATAATCTTTTTCCATCAAGACTATAACTTATATAAATTGAAAACAGCTGAACAATTTCTTGGAAAATAACAGTAAATTACTACCACTTAATGTAACTTTCATTCTTCAGATAAATGGATATTTCACTTTTTTGCCCTTGTGTAATTACCTTTGATATCTATAATTAATGTAAACATATTAAAGACAAGGCTTCCAGAACCATCAAACAGAGAAAGCTTTACCTAGAAGAAGTAACTTGATCCTTCTGCAATTTTCTTTAAAGGATAGAATCCTTTAACAGATTTTTATACCCCAAATTTCTCATCAAGTGTTTCAAAAATGATAATATTTACCAGTGCCGAAACATTATTTTATGATAAGTGGCTCCATGAACCCATCTCAAAATGTGGATACCTACGCTTTATTTTTAGTCATTTATATCTTCCTCTTTATGAGCTAAATAATGTGTCTAAATTCCGAATCATGTGAAAACTAACTTTCTTTTGGGGAGAATCTGAAGATGAGAAAGATATGATAAAATGAAGCAAGGTTACGAAGGCTCACTTATATGTGATTAAAAATCACACTTTGGGGGCTGCTTTACCTGGAGTCAACAGTTCATGCTGAAAGTTAGTGATTTGTTGGCTCCAAAAGTAATGACCATCTTCTTTTGTACAAGTTGCAAATGGTAGAAAGAAGAGAAGGTGTCAATTAAAAAACAGAACTCCAGACTCTACTTTAAATGATTATTAAAGTGACATGTATCGGGGCTTTATTTCCTCTCATACTTTTTAAAGAAACATGAAATTTCTTCCTTTAGCGACTTAGCACTTGTTTGGAAAATTACGTAGAACCATTAGTGTGGTAAGCTACAGAGATGCCTTCCCTGGCCATATGATCTAAACCTTTAAATACAATCTTGAGAAACAAATATCCAGAAAAATCTAATTCATTTCCTTCTCATGTGTAAGTTTTACTTGCATCATACAAAAGTAGGTGACTTATACTGCCATCTCTTTTTGCAAAGGAGCCAGGTATTTGCATCTTTGTGGGGTAATTTAACAGTCACTAAGCAGCAGGAAATAGTGCTCACCTCAGCAGAAGATGGGATTGCTAAAACTAGGTAACATTGTCAGAGCACAGCTGGGTGGTCAGGACACTGGACGGTAATTACTAGCCAGTGAAAAAGAATGAGCTCTAAATGAGATGAAAAGACCAAGGCCTTGGGGATTGGGTTTTTAGGTGTAATTAACATAAATCGAGAAAGAGATTTGGTTTGGCCAAAATACAAGAGGAGATCTATTTCTAAGCTTCTGCTGTGTGAACCTTAAAATGTCTGCAAAAGCACTTGGATACACTTTCTCCTATTTCTTTCACAGCTGTGGTGTGCTATTATTTCTATGGTTAATAATTACAGTAATATTTTCCATAGTACCTTTCTCCTGAAGTCTATAGGATATCAGGCAAAAGCTTCCAAATTCTGTGAATAACGTTTATGTAATAAGCATTGCAAAATGTCAAATTAGTGAAAAAAGAATAAGATGTTAGCTTGTGACAGGAAACAAGGAAGAGATGATTTAGAATAAAATAGAATGGAAAAATCAAAAGAAATTATCTGTTAACAGCTAGTGAACACAGCAGACAAATCCATGCTCCTTGGCCAAACTTTTCTAGAAAAATCTTGACACATTATGGAGTAGTCATATTTGAAAGCCATCACCCAGGACCTTTTAAAATTACAAGTAAAAGATGTAACTGACTTTATTTTTTCTTATTTCACGCTCTGTACTCAGGCCAAGTGTTGAAGGCATCAAAACCATAAGGTAAACTAGGAGACAACTGAGTACTACAAATTTCGCATGAAGAGGAAACAGACACCTGAAAGAAGGTAGAACAGAAAGAAAGAAGAGTTATTTGACGTTGTTCCCATTTGTGTCAGGAATGCCCTGGCCATCTGAGATTGATAATTGAGGTGCTACCTGCCTTTGTTTTGTATTACTATTTAGTTGTATCAGTCTGTGCTGGATAGTGATAGACAGCATTTATTGAATGGCTGCTCATTAGCAGGCAATGTTCTAAGCATTTTACATGGGCAATTAATTCAATATCACAATCTTATGAGATCAGTAGCATTATTACCACCACAATTTTCAGATGAGAAAATCAAGGCACAGAGAAGTTAAGTGACTTATCCAACAGCACATGGTTAGCAAGTGGTACAGTTGGAATTTGAGTATAAGCAGCCTGCCTCTAGAGCCCATCCTTTTTACCACACACTATATTGATGAAAGTTGTAAATGCACTTGCCAACTGAGGAAGAAATAGATGGCTTATAGGAGCTTAGCAGAAATGCTGTGTTAGAGGGAGCAAAACAAAATATCTCTGCTAGTCTCTGTCTCGAACAGGTAAAACCCTATGTACTTATTGGAACCAGGTGACATCCCATTTCTATTCCTGTGTATGCTCCTTTTTGCCAATGCCTACTTACTCTTTCCCATTTACCTTAGGTCCTGCTTCACATCAGTTTATGTCTACATTTGTACAAACTCTAGGTATCACTCTGAACTATACTGAGTTACATTAAGTTTTTACAGTAACTGAACATATCATACTTTAAAAAAATTAAAGCAATGATTTCCATGACTAATTAAAAGTTAAGAATGCAAAGTCTTACAGAAATATCTATATTGGGAAGATTTCATGCTCTGATATCAAATGAGAACGAGAACTCAGACAAGGCTTGCCCAAGTATTGGGCAGTTTGACCCAGTCTGCATAGCCTCCATCTATTTACTTTCACAACTCTAAATCATCTTACTGTTGGGCTGAAATAATTATCAACTAAGTGACAGTAGAATCTAATAGAAGTTTGAAACTCTCACAATCAATACTGGTTGGCATAAAGTCCCACTAGGGAACAATGAAAAATGTACTTGCTAGATTTCTAACAATAGGTCAGGTTACTGCTATGGCATTTCTGACTAATGCAGGTGCTTCTGAATTGTACATTGAAATATATGCTGTTCTTTCTGTAGGGCAGTTGTTTTTGTTTCTCTGTTTTCTCAACATAATTTGGAAAGGGGAATAGGAATTAAAATTTACAGCTTGCAAACCTTGTTTTGATTTCCTTCTTTTAGGTAAGCTTCTTTATTAACAATACTGAAAATGAATGGGTTCCCTTCTTATCGAATTATAGTCTTATGTCTGGTCCAGCTATATAGAAATATAATACAAGAAATCAAGGAAAGAAAGAGTTGGGGTAATTAAATACATTTCTAAATTTAGTCAAAGCTACCTAGAAGTTATGGTTAAACATTAATATTAAGAATGTTTGTAAGAATGTTTGTTAGAATGTCTGTACTATGTATATATTAAATACAAAGTTTTGAGAGTTAACTCTTGGCTCTTTGAGTAACATTCACAGGTCAAAAGAAAACAGAGCAGTGAGGCAATAAATGGCTTAAGGCCATTTGGGCAATGGCTTTAGGCCATGTGGAGTCACTGACAGGTTTTAAACAGGAGAGTTCGAGCCGTAAGTTAATTTCAAAAAATTAACTTTTGTGGAAGATGGATTGGAAAAAATTGA